AACAGGAATAAAAATTTTAATCAAATAATACCTTATCTAAATCTGTTCAAGTTTAAAAGAATCTATAAAGACCAAAGTTTTAGAATGCTAGTCAGATTTTTATTATACTTATAAATAAAAAATTACTTAATTATTTCTATTTGTTATATTTGTTATATTTTTTTCTTTTATTTTGCATTAAAAAAATAGGGGTTAAAAAAAATTAAAGACCCTCAAATGCGTCAGTTATAGGGTCTCTTTAACCAGAAGTAACATATTTTAATGGTTGCAGTGTTCATTGTAAAAGTAAATTATTTAATGTAAATAGTAATAAAATTAGATATAGGCGTACGAAGCGTAGGTGCCAGCCAGGGGCGGCGTTCGTTTTTCTCACCCAACCTTTCTCTTAACTAAAATAATTCAATTGATATATATTTTGATGTTATATTTTAATTACTTCCAAATTTATCATTTCCTGAACATTCTAGACGTTGCAATTGCTAAATACAAAATCCTTTTCATTAATGTGTATAAGCATATACTTTAAACAAAGCCAGTTGTTTATGGTAGTCTTGATACAATTGTCGAAATGGATGAAAGTGTGCTTTCGCGGCGTGGGATTATAAGAAATCCTGCTGGCGCGGATGATATACTATGGTCAACTATATGGGTTATAGAAGATGTTGAACGAACTGAAGAAAGATTTTATTTCTTATTCGTGCCGCTTACTGTTCAATACCATCCCCAACAGCTGCAATTTGTCCTTTTATCAGAATATGGAAATAATGCACACGGATGGCCATGCATCATACCCCTCTGTTATTAGAAATTAAGAACTACAACATCATGTTGTAAATCATTCTGTTGGGTTTGGAGTCGCTGATGGAACTCATACTAATAATATAGAGGGTTGTGGGGGTCACGTGAAAAGCACGATTAGGAAAGAAAACGGCGTGTGAAAAGATCACATTGTCAATTGGCTTATTCAACATAAATTTACATTTAAAAGGAGATTGTGATGAATAAATCTACCGAAGAACTTTACAGTGTGTTTGTGTTAGTATTAAAAGTTCTTTAAATTAAATAAATAAACAATTATTTTATTTTTTTACTCTTCTTTAAATTTATAAAAATGTAAGCAAATTCGCTTAGGAGACCCGACTTGCTGCCCCAAAAATATTTATCTTATATTCTTGATTTCAAATGTAAAGTCCTTTGTGAATTATTTTCACAATATTTACACTTCATAGTATTGCAAATCATCTCAATCTTAGCAAAGGAAGCAAACTGTTCCCTTGCAGGTTTGCTTCCTATTGCACAAAAAAATTCAATTAAATACCATAGAAGCAATGTATTCATCAGTATATATAACTTCACAAATTTGATTTTCTAATGGTTTTCTGCTCATTTTTGGGGGGTTTTATGAAAATACATTTTTGTAAATTTTTTATTGAGGCAAATAATTGTAAATATCCAAGCTTTTGGTGCACATCTTAAACCAAAAAAATTAAAAGCCAGATTATACCGATATAAACAAGATTTAATACAAATTGTTTTGGCACTCATTATCATTACATATTTTGGCCACAAGTTATAATTTTAAAATTGTGTCTTGTTTTGTTTTTTCTAGAAATTTTTTTTAGGTGTCTAAAGATTTTGACACGCACTGTTGATATGAGAGAATGCAAAGAAAAAATCAAGAGCGACATAATTTATATAAAATAAGGCCAATTTAATTATGAATGCTGCAGGATAGACTTGCTTATATTAAGAGCGTGTTGAAATGCTTTTAAAAATCTGGAGAAATTCACAAACATAACCTCAGTACTGATTGTTTGTATGAAACGACAAGCAAAATAAAAAAGTTTTCTTTGCCGTGTTTGTTTAGAAAATTTTTACTATTATTTAAAAGCAAATAAAACGTCATTGGGTGTCAAGAAAAAATTGTTAAAAAGGAGATTCTTTAACTGGTAGAAATTGCTTTGGTGATTCAAAATTAAGTTATGAAAAAGTTGCATAATTTTTTTGTATTAATTTTATTAAATACCAAAGCCGTGTATAGGTTTGTGGTATGAGACCACATGTAAAAAAAATATTTTCTAGAAAGAAAGAATTTTCTAGAATTTTTTAAAATATAAATATTTTACCCCTACACTAATATATATAAGAGGAAGAACCGATAATAAGAACGATTATAACAGAAATACTAGCCACAAGGGGAGCAGTATTTATAGTATTCAGCCAATATAGCCATTAATAAAAAACTATTTAGAATTGTATTTCAAACTGGGGTTTATTTCCAGTAAGCACCTCAAAGTTTAATAACAGATGTTATTAAAAAATAAATTTACAAAAATTAAAAAATGTATGTACTTACACCGGTCTTCTGGCGCAGACTGCCTACCATATGAAAAAGGGGATAAAAAAATAATTATTTATTTAATTGAAAAAAAATCGCAGTATTTCGATATAAGTTTCAGAAATTTCTTTGGTTTTTTATTCATTAAACATCTTCTTTTAAAGTATATTAAATAAGCCATTCGTCTATGCTAGAACGCGTTACACCGTGCTCTTTTTCATTGAGTTTTTTATATGTGACCAAAAATTTCCCGACATTGTTGGTATGTGCCCCATCACTTGCACAAAACCCTTCTGTGTGGTTAACAATCTTATGATCAAGCCCAAGATTCCTAGTAGTTGCTGGATACGACGGATGACCGCCTGTATTGACAATACTAGCAGGTAAAATCAGTCCTCTCATAGATTAGATAAAGTTAAATACTGTAGGGTTTTGTCGACAACTCTTAACAAAAAAAAATTCTGGAATCTGTTCGATCTATTCCTCCAAGAATTCATATAGTATATTTGATGTCATCATCCGTACGTATGGGGATTCGGATAATACCTCTTCGTGATAAAAACCTTTCATCTGCTTTAACAATTACTCCTTCTCCCCCAAAGATAATGGGTCTTTGCATTATAAAGCGTTTAACACAATCAATGAGGAGATTTTTATACCTTGAAATAGTTGAATCTGCAAAAAAATAAGTAAGTTGGTTGCAGTTAGCATCTAAAACCAGAAAATAGATAAAATGCACGACTTTAGTTGGTGGCACTGCTGATATAAACAAAGAATATATTTTTTGGCAATGTTTTTTATACACCTACATGTTATTTTGCTACCAGAATCGGTCCTCCTGTCCATAGTAAATTCGCCGTCACAATTTTAACAAAATATATTAGGTTAAATGATTTTATAATTTAAAAGAAATGTTTTTAATTCATACATATCCAAAAAGATTTTCTATAACACCAATTTTCATTTGGGGTTAAATTTTTTCAAAATTTATCTTAAAATGAAGATCGGTGTTGTAGATAAAATAGAAAAAAAGACATATGTGCTGAAATTGTTTGGTTTTTTATTTAAATTAACCGATCTTTTCTAGCGCAAACTGCCTACCTGCTGACCTTTTCTAATGCAGAGCTTATTTTTTTCTCGTACATTTAATTTTTTAACCCTTACTTTTAAAAAAAAATTATGGTAGACAGTTTGTGCTAGAAGACCCCTTCTTATGATCTAATGGCTCATATATTGGATCGCAGTAAACAAATATAATTAATACTATAAATAAACTGTAGGTCTTTAATATTTATAAGCGACATCTTTAAGGCGTAAACCCACATGGCAGAAACAACATTTTTGTAGAAATTTATGAATTAAAAATAGGAAAGAATAAATATAACAGGGGAAAGCCCGTAAAAGGGAATTAGTATTTTGGAATGGTAGAACGTACTACCGATAAAAAATAATTTTCGTTCTTATAAAAACCGAACAAGGCAGACCTTAATTTCTTTATTATTTAAACACGTTAATATTGAATAAACAATGTATTCAGATATGTGGAAAGCTTATTTTAATTTATAGTTACATTGTAAAAGACGCTACATGGTAAATCATTCAAAAACTTTTAGAAACCAGGAAGCAAGACTTCATACCAACACATTAGAGGGAAATTGGCGTATATTAAAGCCACCATACCCAATAGGTGCAGGACAGAAAGACCTGCTCCTTTATTTCTTCCTTGATATATGATTATTAGGAATGAATCTGAATTATAACTAAAATTCTTTTTAAAATATTTGGCTAAACTGCTATCCACGGTACAAAAAGTGTTGAGTTTTTTTAAAAAAATTTACCCCTAAAAATGAATTTCCAAAATGCGAGATTGATGATGAGGAAGAACTAAATAATTTTTATTTTAATTTAATAAGTATAAAATTCCAAAAATGCTCTAATAAGACAAGAATAAAAGTTTTTTTTGCTACAAATTAATATACAAGATAATTAAAATGATACTTTAATTTCTACCTGGTCCAAATTTTAATATACATTTTCTATGTGGAAGAACACCGCTTTTTTAATATTAGTATCAGTTATATATTTTTCTTAAAGTTATAAATATGTAGTCAATTGGAGCATCGGTTAATTTAATTATTAATATTCTTGGTAGATCAAAAAATCAAGTTTGGGTTATTTTAAAAATATGCGTAGTTTTGACATTTATAATCTTTATCTTAAATCAATTAGACTTTTTTGGGAGGCCAAAATTGTATTGTAGAAATAGATGAAACTAAAATAGGAAAGAACAAACACAATAGAGCCATATAATTACAGGACTTTGGGCCGTTGGAGTGATAGAAAGAACCTTTGAAAGAAGAACAGTTATTATTAGGGCCGAAAGAAGAAACGCAGATACGTAAATTCCGTTAATTCTTTCTCGTGTACATCATAATTCAATCATTTATACTGATTGCTGGTGTGGTTATACAAATTGAGACGCTTTTTAGAAGCCACCATGTAATAAACCATTAATTGCACTTTCGGCATCCTCACACAGGTGTGCACACCAACATTATTGAAGAGAACTGGAGATCTATAAAGGCATCATTCCTTTGAGAGTACGAACCCGTTATTTATCTGATCTATATCTATTTAGATACATGTGCATGAAAAATGAAAGAGGAGAAACTACTGAAAACTTAATTAAATTCTTCTTTTAAAATTTTTAACGTTTTAAAAAATTCACAAATTTTCTGCCTTGCTTTTGCATTTTTTTACAGTTGATTTTCCAAAAAAAACAAGGGTAAAATTTTTTAAAAAAACCCCAACCCACTTTTTGTATCATGGATAGCAGTTAGCCAAATATTTAATTAGGTGCGTCATTTTTTTAAATTTGTGTCTTTTTGCGGAATATTTTTAGCATTAAAAATTAAAAAAGAAAGGTTAAAAATAATTTTTTTTGCCCCTTCTAAAATCTGCCTAATAAAATAAAGACGTGTTTACTCCAAAAATATAAATTTAGCAAAAAGGGTGGGTTTGATGAATTTAAATAATGACTTGGTTATTAATAGACCCAGTTACAGGCAGCTTAAAATACCCGAAAAAAACAAAGAACTAAATTATGTATTTTTTATATATAACAAAGTTCCTTAAATATTGGACATTTTAAAATAAGTTTTGCTTTACAGAAATTTATTTGTTCTTTCTAAACTGTAATTTATTATTCTGGCAGTAAAGTTGTAAAGTGTATTTTTTTTATTAATTATAAGATAATAAATATGTAGGCTTTGTTACAAAATTAAAAAAAAGTCTCATCAATTAAGTTTTTATAAAATATATTAATTAAATTATCTACGTTTATATTCTTTATCAATACCATTCATAATATCTTTTAGAGGGTAATTAACCATTTAATATTTGTAGATAAATGTGTCGTATAACTAAAAATCAATAACAAATTATGATCTTATTAATTGAAAACTTTAGAAAGTACTCTAACCTTTTAATTGACATTCTTATAATTATAGCAATATATTCAAGTTGTACGGCTCGTGAAATATTTGTAAATCGTTGTGTGATATATCCATATTCATCATAAATAGGGTTAATATTGTTCTCATAAAGATAAATTGCCAAATTTAAAGACATGAAAGAATTTACTGCTTCGTTAGTAAACATATTACATTCTATTATTAATTTTTTATAGACTCACATGAAGGTTCATTAAAAAAGAAATTTTCTTTTAAAAAAAAAATAAAAAAAAAATAAAATAAATTTATTGTCATCTAAGAAAGCTTCTCCGGCACCAAAACTCAAAATCAAATAATCAGTGACACACACTAGAAG